CAATAAACTTCAATAGAAAAGGGAGTATAAAAATAAATCATCAATAAAAATAAAAATAAAAGGTTAGGCATTAAGAGATAGATTAAATTGAAGAGATTTAAAATAAAAGATAAAGGGCCGGCCCAGTGGCGCACTCAGTAGAGTACGGTGCTTGGGAGCATGGCGGCGCTCCCGCCGAGGGTTCAGATCCCGTATAGAGACCGGTCCGCTCACTGGTTGAGCACGGTGCGGACGCAACACCGAGGGTTGCGATCCGGTTGCCGGTCGCGGTGCGGGCGCAACACTGAGGGTTGCGATCCCGTTACCGGTCATGAAAAAAGACAAAAAGGAAAAATAAATAAATAAATAAATAAAATAAAATAAAAGATAAAAAACTAGACCAAATGACATATAGGTTTGAAAACAAATAAGAAAAACAAGGAAAATCAAGATGAAAAATTCAACCATAAGTGTAAGATTAAAAATTGAGAACTAAAATTAGTAAGTAGAAGTAGAAAGGTAAAGTAAAATATATAAAAGCATAAATAGAATAAGAAAAAATATTATTAAAAGGAATGAATGTGAGCAGGAAAGTTTATGAAAGAGATGAGCAAACAGAATGAAAGTCCCCAAAAAGTAGAAAAGGAGTGACCCATTAGAGCATGGTGCTGATAACCCCAAGGTCAAGGGTTCAGATCCCTGTACTGGCCAGACACACACACACACACACACACACACACACACACACACACAGAAAGAAAAGACAAGGAATAAAGGAGTGCAAGTCAATCAGGAAAATCTAGGGCCTTGAAGTGGAGTGAACGTGATGAAGTGCTGAATAATGAACAAGCAATAGAACTACACACTTAAAGGAGATGTTTAAGAGCAGACTCCTTTCTAGTAAGTTGGCCAACTGAACTAACACAGACTCCTCTTTCAGCCATAAACAAGTGAAAATATTGGACAAAATATGCTAAAATAACTTAAAAATATAGCTGAGCTCAAAAGACAAGAAGGCAAGTCTCCAGATGCTAGAACGAAGAAGGTACTCGGGTAGAAGCCGTGGGGATGAGAACTTGGGGTTCGATGGCAAGTCTATTTCTCTAGAAAGTAGTCTAGGATGAAGGTGCATGTGGAAAAATGATTAGCAGCATGCCTGGGGGGTGGGGCGGGGAGCAGAGGAGGCAGAACAGCGTGCTATGGTTTGAATGTGTCCCTCAAAATTCACGTGTTGGAAACTTATTCCCCAAGGCAACAGCGTTGGGTGGTGGGGCCTAACGAGAGGTCCCTAGGTCATGAAGGCTCCACCCTCATGAATGTATTAATGCCAACTATAAAAGGGCTTCAGGCCGCAAGTTCGATCTCCTGCTTTCTCACCCTCTCTTTGCCCTTCCTCCACGGGCTGACGCAGCAAGAAGGCCCTTGCCAGATGTCGGCCCCTCAATCGTGGACTTCCCAGCCTCCAGCACTGTGAACCAGTAAATTTCTGTTCACTATAAATTACCCAGTCTCGGGTATTCTGTTATAGCAGCACAAAACGAACTAAAACAGGGGCAGAGGGAGAAAACAAATTGAGATGCTTTGCAACAAAGTCCACAGCTGATCCTACAGGGTGCTTTGGAGCTGAGATGATCCTTCAGAATCATTGCTAGTCAAAAGACATGGCCTGGCCCCAAAAGGTGGAATGACCTTGGTGGAAGTGTCTCTCTTGACCTGAGTCTTGAAAGACACACAGCTGAGAGCTGTCAGCCAGCAGCCAAAACCCCCAGCATTGTGAGGAATGAGCTCTTCAGTCCTGGGCCAGATGGGCAGTTCTAGAGAGATACATATAATTTTCTGTGATTAACTGGATGATTTTTTTAAAAAGATTTTTCTAACAATTCCTTTACCAACATTATGTAATTTTAACAATTTTATATTTTTCTTTCCAGGAAGATACAACCAAGTGTTCTATTGTCCTCTCTCCAACAGGTGTACATAGATGCTACTTATGTACAAATATATTAATTTCAGTTTTGTTTATATTAGTGAAAAAATTGAGAATGGCCAAAAATGTGGGAATGGTAAAATGACATGGAGCTCTTAAAATTATGTTTTCAAAGAATGGTTATTAATGATGCTGAAATCTGTATTTCCACCGAACAGATTGTATGACTGCAATTTCCTAAAACATTTGTTACTTCAAATTTTACTCTAATTGCTAATGCATAAAAAATATGGAAGAAAATAGATCAAAATAACCTCAGAGTTTGACTCTATAGTGTATGGATTTTTAAGTACCTTGCATTTTCCAAATTAGCTAAAATCATGTATTATTTTGTAATAAAAAAACAACATTTATAAAATAAAACATAATTATGTTGGATTATTTTATACCACATTAATTTGTAAATTTATATTTGTTATGAATACTGATTTGTGAGCATAAAACAGTATTATACTGACAGTACAACTGCAATAATATCTTCAACATTTTTCAAATTCTCGACACTGTTTTCAAGGTGAATGGGGGAAAGAAGTAAACCTCAGGGTTTCTGGGTGCTTTTCTTTGAGGTTTTTCTTGGAAGACGAAAGTCCTAAAACTGTTTCACTCTGTGTGTGTGTGAATCTGTGTATGTATGTGTGCATGCACGTGTCCTGTGTCTGTGTGTGTGTAACTTCCATTTTGGAGTCTTTCCTGTGGCTACCTCAGTTGTTCTAAAGTCAAGTGTTCTTTGCGTTCGATCCCCACTAAATAGAGGGACATGGTCAAGTGACATTTTTCTTTCTTTTTTTTTTTTATGCTTTCTTTTTTTTTATTTATTTTTATTTTATTTTATTTTATTTTATTTTTTTTGTTAAATTTTTATTTTGTCAATATACACTGTATATGATTATTATGGCCCATCACCGACACCTCCCTCCCTCCTCCCTCTCTCCCCTCCCCCCCAAGAATGTCCTTTCCGTTTGCTTGTTGTAACAACTTCATGAAAGTATAGTTGTTATATCTTCTTCCCCACCCCACCCCCCGGTTTTATTTTTGTGTGTGTGTGTATGTGGGTGAATTAATTTGTTTTTTTGTTTTTTTGTTTTTTTAGCTGTGAGGTTGAACATGCCTTGACCACATCGATTGACTCTTCCCTAGTCATTACTCAGGTCAGAGGTCACCTGCGCTGGCATGATGAATATACTTGTTAGGGGAGGGGGAGTGTTTCTGTTGCAACTGACAAAGAACCCAGTACATGTCATTAAAAAGTCCAGAGAAGAAAATTCACCTTCAGGTCTAACCGGATTCAGGGCTCAAAAGATGTATTTTTAGGACTTTGCTTCTCACTGTAGCCCTCTGTTCTGCCTTCCATTAAGTTGTTGTTTTGGTCTCAGGCTCCTTACAGTACCTCTGTGATGACAGCCATTCTGAAGCTTACTCCTTGCAGAGTCAAGCCCAGCTGGCAAAAACACCTGCCCCTGTCCCAGAAGTCACCGAGAAAGCCTCAGGGCATCTTGTTGGCTCTGAGGGCCAGGCAGCCAGTCATAAGCTGGGCCTAGTGGTCTGGGCAGTGTGGCCTGGGCCTGGGTCACGTATTCTGCCCCTGGGCCTGGGGGTAGAGTCAGCCTCATCTGAAACAGATGGACTGAGAGATGGGAAGTAGGGGGGAGCCTCAACTGAACACTGGGATACTATTATCACTGTGGGACAAAAGTGCCAAACTTCTATAACAAGGAAGCAAATAGCCCTCCCGTGTCTCTGTCTCTGTCTCTGTTTCTGTCCTCACCCTCCTCAGGCTCACTGAATTCATCAAGGACTCTTTTTCTACTCTGTATGGCCCTTGGCTGGCATGGGCAGAGAGTGGATAGGAAATTAACCCACGCACTTACTGCCATTTGATCTTCGACAAAGGCATCAAGTCTATTCACTGGGGTCGGGACTCCCTCTTCAGCAAAGGGTGCTGGGATAACTGGTTATCCATTTGCAGGAGATTGAAACTAGACCCATATCTCTCACCTTGTACTAAAATCAACTCAAAATGGATTAAGGATTTAAATATACACCCTGAAACAATAAAACTTATTAAAGAAAATATAGGAGAAACCCTTCAGCAAATAGGGCTGGGCACAGACTTCATGAATATGACCCCAAAAGCACGGGCAACCAAAGGAAAAATAAACAAATGTGATTATATCAAACTAAAAAGCTTCTGCACAGCAAAAGAAACAATTAACAGAGCTAAAAGACAGCCAACAGAGTGGGAGAAAATATTTGCAAAATACACATCTGACAAAGGACTAATATCCAGAAGTGACATTTTTCTAAAGCTACAAATCTCACCCAACAGCAAGGGAGGAATTCACAATTCCTACATCCACAGAACAAAAAGAAAATGATAAATTACATGGTTAAAGGGATTTTTGAATGAATAAACTTTTCCTCCACTAGAACTTTCTCCTTCTTTGCTTATATTATAGGAACTAGTTTTTTTTTTTTAAACAAATCTCACATTGACCCATACATATTGAAATGGTAGAGAGGCCATTTAGTGTTCATTATTGCTGTTTGTGGTGTTATTCTTTCTCCTCCCTTTCCTCCACCCCTCCTTTCCTTCCATTCCTCTTTCTTTCTTTTAGACTGATTTCCCAGATCCTTTGCTCCAGATCCCTGTTTCTGCCTCATGCTCTTTCTCAAGTCTTTACCTCATCCCTTCCTCTCCAGGTGGCACTTCCATGTTTCACAGCAGATTTCAGTGTGTCAGGTGGGCAGTGAGGGGGAGAGTCATGGAGAGCCACAGTTTTAGACGCTTATGTGTTTGAGAGCCTGTGAAATCCTCCCTGGCCTCAGAGGTGCTAAACTGTTTCAATCCATATTTTCTTTGTCTTTTATGGTTTTTAAAGTTTCACATCCAATAACCACATTTGTATCCAAGGCATGGATTTTCAGTTTGACAAAGCTGATCCTGTGAATTCAATTTCCATAAATCCCTTAAAGTGTTTATCCAACTTTCATTTTGCAAAAATGTCTCTAACAAAAAACACAGGGGAAACAATTGTTCTTGACATCACAACAGTTTAATATGTTAACTTATTCATTAAATTGTGCTTCACATCAATGGAAATCCTCAGTTCTACAAACTATCATTTTTAAATAGCAATAAAGTTTGATAATATCACAATACAGTCTCCTAATAACCGAATTCGTACATATAATTGCACAGAAACTAAAAGAAATATCTCTTAGGAGAAATAATTTACTATCTATTGAATAACTATCTTTACATCTAAAATGGGCACGAGATAAAGGTCCAGATTTTTCTTTCTTTCACTGAATTGATATGTTAAAAGAAAAATAATGCAAGCAAAACCCAGAAAGTATTTCTGGGGGAAAAAAATAGGGAGAGAGAAAAAAAAAGAAAAGATGACCACATCATTAAGAACAATGACAAGGAGTGGAAGACAAATGTGACGTTGACAAAAATCATGAATGACAAAACTCTGCTCCTAAGAACACTGATTTCCCCGGCAAGAACTGGTTTTTCAGCACTGACATCTGGCCCTTTCTACAGCAAGGCAGAACATGTAACTCACAGAAGTTCCACTTAATGTGTCAAAGGATGACAGTCTCAATCTTTTCCATAGACAATTTAGAACATAGGCTCAAGAAACATTTATGTGTACGCGTTCTCAGATCCAGAGTTCCATTAGGTTACTTCATCCTTGCCTGGAAGTTCAGAGGCTTTTGTCTTGCAAGTGTTGCTGGTGTTCATAGGCAGGCCAGTCCTTTGGAAATCTCAGCATCTCTGCAAGGCTGGTTGCTTCTGTCAATATTCTGGGAAGATGGCTCTGTGTGCATTTCATCCATTAGGCTGCAAAGGACCTGCCCACTTACACAGAAGGGTTAATTCAAAGTTTCAGGGAATTAGTTCAGATGCATCTAGGTGAACATGGTGACAGAACTGCAGGCATTGGCTTACATCCAGTAGAGACAGAGAAAGAGGATAAAAAGGAAAGCCAAATTGCCTTGGAGAAAAAACCATTGCATATTCCCCAGATGACACAAAGCAGGTAGAAATATCAGCCTCAGCCAGCCCTGAACCCAGCCTGAGGACTTTCAGTTAGAGTTCTGGTGACCATTGAGAAATAACAATGGGAAAGGAAACCCTTTGAGTCATAGCTGTGATCAGATCAGGGTGTTCTTGCCCAAGTCCAACCCAGCTTTCTCTTTGACCCAGCTCCGCCAACTCATCAATCAGGCTTCAGTCACTAAAACCATCCTAAAGCTCAGGTTCCACCTCAAGAGCCTCATTTCCTTTTCTGTTCTTCTAAATGGCTAAAAGAATTACAGTCCACATGTTTCCAGCCTGCCCTTGTTCTTGAGGAGAGAAATTGCATCTTAGTCATTTTCCTATTTTCCAGTATTGGTTGGCACATATTTAATTCATCATCTTTCCACCTGTGAAAGATCTGCCCCCTTTCAGGAGCCACTTTCCTCTATAGTTACCCTACTCTCCCTAACCCCCTAACTCTGCATGATCCCACTATATGGGACCTTCTTCTCAGCTGGGGGTCATGGTTGGAAAGAAATTATATAAACCCTCTCAGTGAAGATGCCAGCTTATGACAGCCTGAAGCATTTCCTCTCTCCAGTAAATGTGCAAAGGGACTCATTTAACAGCAAATAAAACCTTTAAGGAATAAAGCAATACATTGCTGATAAAATACCAGGGACCTGGGGAAGGAGTAGAGAACAGGAGATCTTTTTTGAGAAGGGGTTCTATTGATCACTCCTTAAGCTTCACTAATCAGACAGCTACTGATTCTGAATATTTCTAATGCTGAGCTTCCTTAAGCCGTTGTGAGCACATTCCAACAGACTTCATCTTTAATAGTTTTTGGGTCAGATGGGGTGAACACCCAGCAACAGGTTGTCTGAATATCTCCCCTGAGTTTGAGAGCTTCCCAGTCCCTCCTATAACATTGCCCATTGCGTGGGCATTTCATTGCTAAGAGAGAGGGAGTTGAGAGTCAACTTGACCAGTCTTCTTGGAGAGAGAAACATTTTCTAAGCCACTGCATTTCCATAAAAAGGTAAGGGATGATATAAATCAATAAAGATTTAGATTTCATATTCTTGCAATTCCCAATCCCAATACCAATGTTAAGCAGCATAAAGTAGTAGGAAAAGCTATGAAGTCAAAAGACTAGGTCTCTGAGCAACTTTCTTGCTAATAAATTAGAATCTTTGGGAAATCTTTCAACATCTCTGAATCTCCATTTCAAATGGGATAATGAATAGAGGTCCTATTAACACACAAAAATGTAATAAAGATCAAATGAGATATTAAATGTAAAAATGTTTTGAAAAGCATTAAATGCTATACAAAGTGATGAATTTTAATCTTATCCTTTGCAAAACATATGATGAAATAAATGACATTGAAAAACACTTGAAATATTTTTCAATTCTCTTTTGCATCAGAGACTGATAGATTTTACATTGTTTCTTTAATAATAGAGCTCCCACATTTATAAGGTGCATGGCAACCAATAGTAAAAACATTTCCTATCCTTCTTTGCAGCTAGATATAGCTAATGTCAAGGTTCTAGTCCATGAGATGTGACTGGAATCAGTATGTGCACCTCCCTTCCATTTCCTCTCTGTTGTCTTAAATGTAGATGTGATGGCAGGAGCTACAGCAGCCACCTTGGACCATGAGGTGCATGCTGCACATTAAAGCAAGAGAGGGCCTGGACTTCTGGTGATATTACATACCAGAGCTATCAAACCAGTTTGTCTTTGAGAGAGAAACAGCTTCGATCTTATTGAAGTTACTATTATTTTGAGTTTCTCTGTTAAAACAGCCAAATGGGAATCCTATTCAATATACTTGTATTTATTTTTAAATTATCTATTCTCACCTCCTTGCTAGGTTTATCTGGTAGATTTCCTTCCCAATATTAGTACTCATACTTTTGAAAAACTTTATTTAAAGTGTAACCAAATGGATCCTCATATTTCACACCTTTGATCAAACTATTTATGACAAAATTACCTCCTTTAGAAAAGAAGAAACATATCTTTATATTTTTTTAATAACATACATGGTATTCTTAATGATCATCTAACACTGATTGTTAAAATTGTTGGTTATTAGTAAGAGTATCCAAATAATTCTCAGGGCGGTTTTATCCAGTTACCAAGAGTAGGCTGCCAAAAAGCTAGAAAAAGAAAAAAATAGATAGTATATATTTTGGTCCTTAATAAAATTTAAACACACACATATATACATGCACATGTACATGAGAATGCCCATCCCAATGTGGTTACTGGAGCCACCATTGCCAAGAGAAGGGAGGGGATCTCTCCCTGGGAATTATAGGCATCAATAGGGGATTTTTTCTTTTCTTTTCTTTCTTTTTTCTTTTTCTTTTCTTTTTTTTTTTTTTTTTTTTTTTGGCCTCTTTTTGGGCTTTTGATGCTAACATATCTGGAATTAATTTGGTTTGGGATCTTAAGACCACTGACTTCCCACGATCTTAAGCCCAGATGCCTTCCGCTGCTGTCTCTTCCCTGAGCTTCACTCACCATGTAGGTGTGCAGTCAATTTTCAGAGAACAAACTGTGTCCTCACCTCTGCATTTCTATCCACATAGGACACCAGGGAGATGACAAGAATGCTGCTTTAGGATGAAATGATATGAGGGAGGAAGCCCATGTCGGGCTTTTTAATTTACTCAGCACTGGCCTCGGGCCAACACAAAGAGATGGTTTCTCCTCTGAACATCCTGATACCTGGTCTCAGGTGGAGCCCCCTACATCAAGCCTTCAGCAGCAAGGCGGTAGAAAGCCTTTTTATATAAATCCCAAGGAGCCTAAGGAACAGTGTGAAGTTAGCAGGAGCTGCCTCCAAGTTTCAGCTGTGCCTGAATTCCCTGCCAAAGATTTAAAGTGAGTTTAAAGGAAACAATCTGAATGCTTTCTAACTTGTTTTGATTTTCCACATGACAAAACACTGAATTTGAATTGTTATTGTGTGTGCATGTGTGTGTATGTGTGTGTCACAGTGGCAGGCAGAAGGATAATTTTGCAGCCTTGCTATTCTAGACAGAACATTAGATCCTGACAACAAAATCTGAAGATAGAGAGCTGCTCATGAATCCCAGCTGCAACTCTCCCTCCCTTCCTACCTTAGGAAAAAATCACTGGAAAGGGAGACAAATATTTAGTGAACCTAATCCCTCCAACTCACAAGCAATATTTACTTGGTTCCTTTTAACTCACCCTTGTATAATGGCTCTAAATATACAGCTGCCTAAAAAGTCATCAATCTCTCATTGATGGGTCAGTGATGGGAAATGAACTTTGACTGGACTCAGCCAAGGCAGCATGTCTCTGGGTCACTGCTAGCTTGGCACTGTTACAGTTGTGCCACCTACATGAGTTAGAGATAAACACTTCTGGGCAGTAACAGCTGGCTTCTTGCATGATTGGTGATAAGCATGAGCCCTTGTCCCATATGGGCAACATAATGGGGTAAAAAGGCCTTGCACTTTGCAGTCGGCTAGACCTAGCTTACAATCTGCGAGGAAGCCACAGTCCTCTGTGGGCTTCACATTTCTCATCTATGAAATTTGGACTAACAATATCTACCTTGTTCAGAATATATTTAAGGTGCAGAAAGGGCCTCCCTTTGCTGCAGGCCACCTCGCCAAGGTAGCTACCCAGTAATGCCTTCCTTTGCACCACAGATGAGCCCAGGGCAGTGAGAGGCGTATCAGAACCACCTCTCCAGACCTCTACTTGATGGAGACGCTGGGCTCCCCTTCATACAGGTGGACACACCATGAATGCTTGTGGGTTGGTTGACTCTCAAGTCCAGAGAGAGTATTCTGGAGCCTGAGAAGTGGCTTACGTAAAGCTGGCTTCAACATCAGACATGCTGGGTATCAACGAAATAGGCTTTTCAATTTGATTTAAGGTTTCACTCATTTTGCCTTCAGCTCCTTGAAGGAATGGATCAGATCAATCTGTTGTGAGATTTTCTACCCACTCTGATCCTCCTCCTAAATGCTAGGCAAAGGCTTTCTACTCCCTCTTCCATACTTCTATCCTTTTTATTCAAGAAACTTTTTGTTATTGTAGTTGTGATCAGGAGAAGGTGAAAGTAAGAAGCACTTGGCAAGGCAGCACATACTTTTGGTCCAGTTTTATACCTTCAAGCCTGATTTGCCAGCTGTTGCCCAGTCTAACGACAGGTAAAGATCATGTGGGAAGAAAATAGTTTTATCAAGCTGAAGATATTCAAGACGTTGGGAGGTTAAGTCTATCTAAACTCCTAGGATAACCATCCCATTAATGGTGTTCCAGGTCTGCTGGCCTAAATCAGTTATTCATTTAGTAATACTGAATATATTTTATATACATGCTACCTAAGCTCCTATTCTTGAGACCAAGGTCTTCTTAAAGGTCTTTTTCTTTGTGATAGCAGAATTTCAAAGCTGGCAGTACCATATCAAAGAAGATGACTGCTCCAAAAACGTTAAACTCTGAAATATTCCTTTAAAAACTGACATTTTGTAGTCAGTTTGGAAATGTTAGACATACAGTTATCTTCCTGTTTTTCTTCTCTCTTAATTTATCATTCATTCTTCACATTGAAATAAAAATGAGTGAAGTGTGATCGCTTTAGGCATTAGTAAACAGGCAAGTTCTCCTACGTGCCCCTACAGATGTTCTTTTCTCAGGGGTCACACCATCCCTGTCCTGTATCCACTCCCTGTAACATGGCTTAGGGCTATGGTGCTGGGGGTTTGCAGAATTTAGGTATCTAATGATCAAGAGCAGGGTCATTTTGTTTAAAAACAACTGCAAAAACAAAACACCTTACTCTGCTTATGATTTAAATCACATTCAAATAGAGTTCAAAGATGAGGGCCGATAGCCAAGTGAGGGTTGGCATAAAACCTCATCTAGGGCCTGGAAGTTTCTTCTCTTCCTCTCTCTTTAGACAGACCAATATTCTCATGGCAGAGACAGTAGAAAATAGACCAGTTTCAGCAGAACATCCAAGCCGTGCTTTGGCTTTTCACATGTGCCTCTGTGAGTACCCAAACTGTAACCTCTGCCACTGCAAAGGAGAGTGCAGGGACTCTTTCTTTCAGGGTGCTTCTCTCCTTGACCTTCTAAAGTAGTCTATATTTGATGCATTCCTACCCTACTTAATACCACTGATTGAAAAAATGTCAAGAACAAAAGGGGATAATCTCCATCTGGGTAAAAATGAAGACAAAGGAAGCAGATGTCCAAATCAAGCCACATACAGCCAGATGTCCTCAGATGGTCCCAAATCATCCAAGGTAATGCAACAGAAGGTCAATGCCCTGCTCATCCTCCCCCTCCTGAGAGAGAGGAGAGGGCAGGGGGTCACCATCTCACCACCTGGCTGTTGTAGTCCTCAGTGACAGTCCCCTCTGTGGCCCCATCCTCTTTGGGCCACTGGTGGACCCTGTGCTCCCGCTGCAGCCTCCGCTCCTCCCGCCTCTTTTGCCTGTCCCTCTGGTGCTCCAGCTGCTTGGTGTGGTGGTAGCGCTGCTGGAAGAGATCTTTTGCATACTCGTAAAGCTGCATGTCCAGGAAGTTCAGCTCCTCAATGCGCTGGCGGGCACCCTCGTTGATCTCCACATTGGAAGCCCGTGTGATGTTGAACTGTGTGAAGGGGGAGATGAACTTGAGGTTGAATGTCCTCTCGAAGAGAAACTGTGTCTTCCTCTGGAATTCGGTGAGCCCAAAGAAGGCCATGTTCTTTAGGTTGTTCTTTGCACTCTGCAACAGGATGGTGTTTCTTTCACTCTCATTCATGAAAGTCAAGTTGTAGCAGCCCACGAGGCTGAGGTCAGCCAGCATGCGCACCTGGCGGTTGTTAGCCAGGTTGTAGCTGCAGTCCATGAACTCCCGCAAGCTGACCCCAGACCAGTCGTCCCCAGGGTAGCAGGTAGGCAGCTCATCGGGGGTGGGGCTTCTTCCATCACACATGTGGAGAGAGGTTTTCCACGTGGCCCCTCTCTGGACGTGTTTCCACTCACTCAGGTAACGTGACACTGGATCCCGCAACATTGTGATGTAATAGAAATTCCTGGAAGAAATTAGAGGAAGAATGTCAGTAGTCAACAACCCTAACACGGGGATTCTGAACCTCTACAATTTTATATTGGCATTGTCAATGGGCTCTTCTGCCAACTGTTCAAGGAAGATTGTTTGCCTGGTGTATGTGCATCTCTTTCCATGAAGACATTTGGACAGGTTTTCAGGACTAAGTCTGTTGAGCTTTTCCTCCTTGCTGAGTGGGAGGTGGAGGCTGTGGGAAGAATAGTCATTCATTCATTCAGCAATTATTCACTCACGAATTACTGCTGGCAATAACATCTTACATTTACAAAAACCACTATGATTTTAAAAAGTTATTAACCATGTGCTATTTTATTTAATTTTTACAAAAAACCTTTGTAAAAGGTTTTGCAAAGGTAAAACATACTATGTAATAGATGGAGCACTATTTGATAGGGAAACACCCCAAAAGGTGAAGTGATTTATCCAGGTCATGGGAGTAGAAGGGTGCTTATAGTTTGGATGTTTGTCCCCTCCAAAGTTCAAACTGAAATTTGATTTCCAGTGTGGCAGTGTTGGGAGGTGTTGGGTCATGGGGGCAGATCCCTTTTGAATAGATTACTGCCCTCCCTAGGGGGTGAGTGAGTTCTTGCCCTATTAGTTCCTGTAAGAGCTGGTTGTTAAAAAGAGCCTGGCACCTCCTCTCTCTCTCTCTCTCTCCCTCTCTCTCTCCTGCTTCCTTGCTTGCCATGTGATCTCCTTGCACACACTGGGTTCCCTTCCACTTTCTGCCATGAGTTGAAGAAACCTCAGGTGTGCACCAGATGTAGCTGCCCCAGAATTGTGACCCAAAGAAATCTTTCATTTATAAGTTACCCTGTCTTGGGTATTCTGTTGTAGCAACATAAAATGGACTAATATGAGAAGGCAATACTGAAACACAATTCTTCTTTATCTTTTCTCTTTACACTGCTATTTTGGATTATGACATAGGTGGGGTTGGGGAAGGATGGGTTGGGTGTGCAGACTAATATTTACCGAGCACCTACCATGTGCTACAAACTGTACTATGTGTTCTATGGTTGCTAGCACGGATAATCCTCAACACAACTTTGGAAAATAGGTTTTATCATTACTTTTTTTTTTACAAAAGTCAAGGACGCAGAGATTCAGAAAAGTGAAAAGTACAGCCCATGATCCTAGAGCAAATTAATGCTTGGCTTGCAATCTAATCTAGGTCTATTTCATTCAAAGCTTTCCTGTGTACCATATTGGTACTTAAAAAACAAAATTATATTTATTCAGTGCTTATTAATTGTCAGGTGCTGCAGTTATAATAATCACAGATCTTATCTCATCTAATGACATTTAATGGAACATTGAGAAGAAATATATTTTTAAACGGCCATCTTCAGAATGATCACATAGTCACCAGGATACCTCTGGTTTAAAAGTATAAGAAAAATGTACAGGAGTAGGAAGAGAGTTGGAGAAGTTGAGAGATAAAAGACATAACAGTAGGCATTACAGGAAAGTAAATACTGGTTCAAAATAAGGAAACTCCTTCTCACAATTTGAGCAGCCTACCAATGGAATGGCTGCCAACCCCAACCCTGCCACCAGGCACAGTCAAGCAGAGCCTGGAGGTCCCTTTGTCACTGAAGCCAGAGAAAGGACCCCACTGACGAGCAGGCTGGACTCCAGGCTGTCTTACAATTCTAAGATCCCATGTTGGCCATTTGCCCTTCCACAGAAGCCAGTTTGATCCCAGTTCAATCCCAGTTCATCCTTGGCTCATTGAGTGGAGCCCACTCCAGAAGTATAGGGCCAGCCATATTAACTCGGAGTTCTCCTGGGGAGACAAAAGTGGACTTGAAATGTTCCAAAAAGGACACCAGGCATACCTGACACCTGTACAGGTGACTTAATACTGCAGAGAGCCCTGGAACCAAGGCTCTGGGTGCTGCCAAGTAGGTCTCAACATGACCTATCATGTACTAACCGGAAAGTTCTAATGTCCAGCATGCTTGCCCTCAACTGGCACACAAAGGGCTGAGACAAAACCTGCTCATTTCTGTTTGATTCATCTTGGTGTTTGCTCTTCAAAGAAAGTTGATGCCAAAATAAATACAAACACACGGATAGATATATCAAGATAGATAAATAGAGATCTATTGAGGAGTGACTTTTGGTTATCGCTGCATCATGTCATATTTTGTCAAAGATCTGGGTTAGCAAAGGCAGCAGTTGCAGGTATGACTCACCTATCATAATTCCTATATGATTCATGCATATATTTGCCCTTAAAGATAAATAGCAGTGTGTATGGCTATATTTAAATCAAAGACTATCTTAAATCCACACAAAAACTTAATAAATATAAGAGGAAAGAATAAATTGCTGAAGTCTATTTAATGGAGATAATTCATTCCTTCCAATGTAACTGATCAGTGCCTATACTATTTAGGAAAAATACTTTTTTCGAGATTTGGGGGCAAATGTTTTCTAAATTTATTTTTAATTGCAATGATAAAATTTTTATTTAGATGAATTCACCAAAACACGTGAATGTCAGGTGCTTTTCCTATAGACTAGTGCCCAAGACCCATGTCATAAAGTTACCAAATGCCAGACATAGTGCTGACTATATAACCCATTTAAACAATCCTATGAGGTGAGAGCACATTATTATTTACTTTTTTTTTCACTTAGTGTTGAGTAAACTAAATATTTGGGGAGATAAAATAAGCTGCCCAAGATCACAGTGGCAGTAAATTATAGACTTAGGTTTACTTGGACTGGCTTACTTGGAAAAAAACAAATTAGTCACCATGTTGTGAAGACAGAAACATCTTATTTCATAGGAAAAACTCAACCTAGTACTTGTTCCACTTGGCCAGGCTAAACTGGATAGAAAAATACATACCTAGTAAAAGCAATAAAATTTTTTTAAAAAAGGAATTTAAGGATGCAATGTTTTTAATTTCTCTTTTTAAAAGAGTATTTAAAACTATACATTTTCTATATTCTGTTATTTTGAATCTCTAGCCTTGCCACTAGGTAAGCCAGACAGTTTTGAAATGTGTTAAAGAAACTTCAAAAACTTAAGCAGCATTCACTTCCCTTTAAATCAGGAAAGGAATTTATTGAAACTTGAAGGACAGGCCAGCCTGAGCCCTTGCTTTGGCCAATCACCATTTTACATTTCTCTGTTGTCTTTCACTGTGATGGAATGACAATCCCATCAGTGGGAGAAAATTTCCCGAAAGGTCAGTAAGGAAAGTAGAAAATGACTGACACAGATTTTGGGCTTCACAAGGAAATGTTGATGATAAAGTTTTGCTCAGACTGGATAATATTGTTGTTGAATATTATATGACATGGCATTATTAATCCTGCTTTAGTCCTAGGTTGGGACTTGTTCACATTTCAATTCTATGAGCAGACACTTATTTTTATTTCACAAAACAATAGTATAATATATGTAAATATACATTTATGTATAAATATATAAATAATATAATATAAAAATATATAAATACAATAACGACAATAATAATATAACTCAGTGTGTTACAGATGCCAAATGTATCAGGACAGAAGATTTAAATCAGAAAGATCATAAAATATTTAAAAGATTTAAATTAGGATTGGGTCTAATAAGACCACAAATAGAAAATTTCTAATTTCCCTGTTAATTGGACAAAACAGAAAACACAGAAAAGTATTTAAATAAAAAATGTTGATGACAATCAATTGGTAAGTCTCAATCTCATTTATATGTCTCAAATTTGACATGATACAGATTTTTAAAATAGCCATTGGAGGCTAAGAATTACAAAGACTGGACACAAAGATTTAACTGGTGCCTGCTGGAATATGAAGGAGAGACTTTTGTCTCACCTGGGAAAACTGGCCATCGAGATTCTGGTATCTTTATTCCATTGGAAATCTACATAATCTCAAAGCTGACGGAAGCTGGTTTAGGCTTAAAATGGCCTCGGTTTCAAATTTAGCTTTATTCAGTTTAACATTGCATTTAACAGTGATTAGCTAAATTGTAGGGTGATGTTTACATGAGTAAAATAAGTCCCACAGGTCTTCAAGTTTGGCTAGTAAGCCACACGGGTCAATTTGTAACTAAAACTAAATCTGACATCAAGACATAGAAATATACCAGAGGAACATTTATATTGATGAGGTACAAAGTTGTCCCATATTGCGGCTCTGGATCCGAGTGTCTAATAGCATCTGAAAATTGCTTTAATCAGACATATTTCATGTATGTTTTGCTGTTTTCAATCCTACAAAGCAGTCAAAATAGAAAGTTAGAAAAATAGTACAAATAAACCAACAGGGTTGAAGAACACCCAACTGTTGAAAGAAAAAAATGACTGAAAATTTGGTTAGTTAAACCATTTTTTTCTCATCTTTTTTTTTTCTCCATTTCCTTTGGTTTCTCTACTTCCAGACAGAAAACTACAAAAACCATTCACGAAATGCTGGCTATCCCTCGGCCCACACCCAGCCTTCACTGTCAACAGCTTCTCTCCAGTTCCATGACTCTCCTCCCTTCTCCAAAACTGTGGAAACTCATCTAACTCCCAATTCAGTCTCTAATAAAAGTACGTACAGGATTCAGTACCGCTGAAGTCTCCAACCTTATTTTTTAGGCCTAACTTTTTCAACAGCACAATGGAGGGGGAAAATCATTTTTAAAAGGGTAAAACAAAGACTAGGGAGGAAGGACAGGCAGCATCCAAGGGCTGCTGTGGCCACAATACAGAGGACCTTTATTGACGCCTTCTGTTTCTTTTGACTCAATCTCCTAAGCCTAGACAGAGTATCACTTGTTCATATACGAGGGTACTTCAAAAAGTTCTTGGAAAAATAGAATTAAAAGAAAATACAAATCTCTCCGTAAAATTTTTGAAGTACACTTGTATTTATCCTTACAGTTAACCTAAACTCTTCCAGGATATTCAAAAAATAAATAAGTAAACTATTATTTCCACCCTTCATCTAT